TTCCTACCTTGGGCTCCCTGATGAACTGTGACCCGGGAGATGTAAGATAAATAAACCCTTTCCTCCCCAAGTTGGTAGTAATCAGAGTGTTTTGTCACAGCAATGAAGAACAAACTAAGACAAAAATTGGTACCAGGAGTGGGGTATTGCTGTGAGACCTGACCTTGGTGTTTTGGGGAGGACTATGGAAATGTTTGGAACTTTGGGCTGGAAAAGCTATTGCGTGCTCAGAGTTTGTTGTTGTGGAGCTTAGAACAGTTATGTTGAAAGAGTTGTAGATGATGGAGGCCTGGCTTGTGAAGCTTCAAAGGGAAGCGGAGACTATCAGGGCTGTTCCTGTGAGATTTTGAATTGAGAATCTGTGGGTTCTGGTCAGCTGGGGCTGAAGAATCAGCTGTGATTAAGAAGAGACCAGAACCTGAAGTAAAACCTTTGCTTTACTGGGATAATTGATGTTGGTTAGCTGGGGCTGAAAAATCAGCTGTAAGTAAGATAAACTGTAGGATACCAGCATCACTGTGATGAAGTCTTCTGGGAGGTATATCCTCAGGGTCAGCACATAGAGGGGACTGCACCTCTATTTCAAGCTGGAAGCAGGACTTGGTGATGTGTAAGATTCTCCTGCATGGTTCTGGTGCTGAAAGCATGAAGGGGTCACAGAGAGCAGCTGAAGCTTGGCACTCTTAGAGGCCAGGAAAGGCCATAGGTGAAAGTGCAGCCTCAGTTGCAGTGAAGGCCCCAGGATTGAAGGAGTCATGGAGAGAATCTGAGGCATTGCACCCCGAGAGGCCAGAAGAGGACATTGGTGAGGGTGCAGCCTCAGTTTCAGCGGAGACCCCAGCTTTTTGGAGATGCCGGGACCATGGGACGACCACCAAGGACAGCAGTAGGTGTAAATGGAGCTGGCCTGGGTCTGCGAGATAAGCTGAGTGTGCTGTGGATGGCAGAGTCAAAGCAGTGGAGCTGCCAGAACCCTTTGGAGCCCAGAGAATCATGAGTGAATCCCAGATGTCCAGCCTTGAGCTACTTTGCTGGACTTTGGTTTTGCTTAGGTGTGCCCGATTCTTCCCTTTAAAATAAGACAGTACTTGTTTTGGATTTTACAGAAGCCCACCCACAGTTAAGACACTTTTAAAAGAAACAATGGAAAGTGTCTGGATTTTTTAAGGACTGTGAGGTTTTTAAGGTTGTACTGTCTTAGGTTGTGATATTGACATCATATCTTGGGGACAAAAATTGGAAAGTTTATGGTTTAATAGTGATGTTTGTGTGTCAAGTTAACAAGTGGTCAGTTGTGCTGGAGAGCTTTAGTGTCAACTTGACACACCTGGGTTGACGAGCCTCAATTGGGGAATTGCCTCTGTTGGACTGGCCTCATATTAGTCAGCTAACATTTTAGACAGCAACTGTACTTTGCATGTTTTTTATGAAACATCTACCTTCTGGGGGTTGGAGAGATGGCTCAGTGGTTAAGAGCACTGGGTGCTCTTGCAGAGGATCTGGTTTAATTGCCAGCACCCACATGGCGGCTAACAACCATCTATTACTCTAGTTCCAGGGGATCTAATGCCTTCTTTTGACCTCTGCTGACATTGCATGATTCAGGGACACTTATACACATGCAGGCAATATACTCATATATGTATGTAAAATAGAAATAAGAAAAATAAGGAAAAAAAAGAAAAAGCTAGTTTTCCATAAGCAGACCCAGCCAGTGATGGGATATATTTTACCATGCTTGCTTGTGCTGATGCTGGTGGTGGTTTGGGGTCAGTGCTATTTGTACCTGGTCAAGGATCTGAACATAATCCACTAAGTTTAGGAAGATGTGTACTTTGTGCTGGTTTGAATGAAATGTGTCTATTTTCCAACTGCTGCCTCCACCAGCCAAAAAAAGAAAGAATTTAAGTTCAATAAAAATGCATGATAGTTAGTCAGATGTTTGAAGGACAGAATTGATTCAATGATTCCAGAACTTCCTCGTAGAGAAGGAAAATTACATGAGTAGGAAAAGGGTTCTTGACACCTTTTCTCTAGCCCCAGAGAAGTAAGCACTCTTGGATTTTTATTAGTACAAAAAGACTTTGCACAGTGCTATCTCTCATCCTCTACCCAGTGGCTGATAAGGCACATCAGACAGGGTGTGTTCATTCCCAGTCAGCCTTACATACTTTGTGTTTTCCAGCAGATTATCTTGGTCAGAAAAATTATGGCCAGTCAAGGAAGGATCTAGAGAACCAATTTCATTCAAATGAGATTCCCTACACCTACTCTCTGGTCCTTTGCCTTTAAATGTGGTCTACCCTTCAGTCCACAGTCCTCAGCAGCATTCCATTTAAAATAATCGTGAGGCCTCTCTCAGCTCCCAGTGAGCCCTGCGGCCTTCACTTCCAGCTCTGCTTTGGAGAGACTACATGCAGAAAGCAAATATGCACAGTCTTCTAAAGTGCTAGGTAACAAGGTATCTAGGGAGTCAGTATGCACTTGTGTTTCCACAGACAAAACAATCAAAAAAATAAAACATTAAAAAAGTAAAAAACCAGTCTTTACTTGTGCTTCCCACTCGGGGCGCACTCTACACTGTGTGTTTAACTGTCCAGTATCTCATCCAGGGCAAGGTCAGCCTGAGCTTGAGGTTATCCATCCTATGCAAATGGTATTGGAGAGCCAGGGCAGTTTGAAAAAAGTTGCTGAGGGAAAGCTGTCCCTGACATGTTACTTTTGGTGCACATGGGTGGTCAGCATATTATTTCATTGTTTCCTGAATTAGTCACACAGGTCAGACATTTGAATATCCAATTACTTAGGTTCTCCAGGAACCTGTTTGAAATAAATGAGCGATCTCCATCCAGCCCACTTAAACAAAAGCCATCATGACAGTTGGCACATTTTTGGCATTTGTCAGCAAAGTGGGAAGAAAATAAATGACCCATGTAGCCAAAATGGGAGGGTGATAAGGGCCACTGGACAGCAAGTGTAAAGTGGTCTAGATCGCCTACAGAATGAGCGGTTTGAATGTCTGCCAACAGGATTCACAAGAGAAAGTAAACTCCAGACTGACAGAGCGCTCATTAGTTATGATATGAACCTCTCATATTCATTAATTGAAGTATTCATAGTGTTCTGAGCCCATGATCACCAGTTTACTACTGGACTATTATGTAAAGACTGCTATTAATAAAAGTATCAACACTTAGAAAAGTTAAAGAGGTAACTCTAGGCAACAAACAGAATTACTCCCTCATTTCTTCCATCCAGCAGGAATGTATGAAAACACTCTAAGCTATGCTATACCACTTGTCCATTATACAATATTACCTTCAAATTGTTTTCATGAAACATTTCCAGAACAATTAAATGCAGTCTTTAAAAAACGAGAAGGGTTAACTACTTGACTGGAATTATGAATTTTCATTCAAATGAACTTACATATGACAGATACTCATACAGAAAGTCAAGATACTATTAAAATTTTCAAATGCATTTGTTTTATGTGGCAACAAACTATAGAAAAGCAGACAAAATGAGGGAACTCTAGCCAGTTGAGAGGCAGGAAAACACAAATCCTTGTGACTTTCTAAGTAAAATGATCTTTTCTGCCAACATTTTGTTAATGCCTTCATCAGATACATAGAGATTAAGTCATGTAAATTGTGGCCATTATCTCTTTTGAAGGAATTCAAAGGGTTTAGATGATGAAGAAAAAAACCAAAATTGTTTGATACACTTTATTTTATTGTACATTTGAAAGGCACTTCCTACCTGGTTCTAAGCTAGATGAATCAATGAAATTTTTAAAAGAAGATCAATAAATGAGTCTGATTTTTCTTCAGATATGGGCACATGAAAAATGAACAATGTAATTTCTAGATTGCTTAAGTTCTGAACACACACACACACACACACATCTATTCACATATATCTATACATTCCATAGTCTATGAGTACCACATACGCACATGTGAAGTTTCCTTTAAATATTCTGAATTCTACTGCCTGTCTTCTCCTTTAATTTTCCTACAATCTTATTGCTGCCTGGTAGATTTTATTTCTCCTTTGATCTTTGCAAATGTCTAAGCACTTTAAAGAATGTAAAAACCCATTCATATGATTTATTACCAACACACAGATTTATGATATCAACCCTCATTCCTGGGGCTTGATGCTCCTCATGGGTTAGAACTGGCAGGCATGCCTTACAATTGGCATTAGAATTAGAATGCATTGATAAGTGACCTTTAGGGGTCTGCCCTGAGAAGTAGGCGTGTTCTGTGAGGTAGATGCTTTCATCATCTTTGGGTTCTAACTTTGGGATTCAACTCTCTGGTCAGCTTTCATACTAACTCATGGACCATGAGAAAGCAACATGGGACTACAGCCAAGACTCTTGGTACACACAGAGCTGGTTACTCTTCACATGTGTGCATCCAATCCTGCCAGAGAACTGAAACTCCAGTGCTGAACTCTCCAACCTTTTCAGTTTACACTGTAGCTTCTGTGTTTATAAAGATGTGTCCTCTGGGAGCCCCTCCTTCTGTGCAATACACAGAGATTTCTCTTTTCCCTGTGTCTATCTTATTCTTTGTTTTGACCAAAGGTTTTAGGGAAGCTAATCTTTACATAGATTTGGTAAATGACATGTCAGTTTGGGTAGTGTGTAAAACATAGCTGTTGAAGGAGGTGAGAAGGTTTTTCATGCACGAGTCACACACTTCTAACCAAGTAAGAAACAAGCACAGAGCATTTCCTTTCTGGATTCCCCTGTCCCAGTCAAAATGGCTCCTGACACCAGAAACAAACTTTCATTGTCTCTTCCTGATTAACATTTCCTCAAGAACCCTATCACAATAAGACACCTGTCTGAGTAATGTTCCACCAGTCCAAACACTTCACTTTAACTCATTTCTCATTTAATCAAATCACAACTCTAGTCTTCAAATCATCCTGTAGAACACTTGCCAGACAGAACTGTAGCAACAACCGTTCACTTGAGCACTTACCACGTAAAACTGTGAGTCTGGTGGACACACTGATTTCTCCCACATTATTCGAAGCCACACATTCATAAATGGCCTCATCCCGTGGAGTCCTTAAAGGTTGTATTCTGAGAACTGATCCAGATCCATCATCAAACTCTATTACCTATTAGAGGAAACAACAGCTGTCACAGGTGTTGTTACAATCATCTACCTCTTGGCTAAACTTCTCAGTGCATTGGTGAAGCAGCCACTAGGTTCTGAATAAACTCAGCATCACTCCAAGACTGAATTCTGACAGAATGGCACAACAAAATATTTGATTAAATTTAACGGATCTTGTCCAAAAAAGGAGAGACCTATAACTACTTGTAGAAAAGTATACTTTTCTAGCTACGCAGGATATCCTCTTGAAGATACTTAAAACTCATTAATTAGAAAGTGTCCCACAGTTGTGACAGATAAACTTTAATTACTTACTTTGACAATGCATATTCACACATGCATTCACTTAATAATTGGAATATAAGGTGAAGAATTAAATATTACCACCACAAGTATTTTTATCAGTGTAAAGTGTCTCTCTTTAAACGAGATAGACAGGTGAACCAGGAAGAGAAACTGCATTAAATCTAGCATGTAGGCAGCCAACAGGGCAGTAGCAACCTAAATCCAATGGCATGCATTAATTTTGCCATAAATCATGCTGGTATTTATTTCAACTTAGCATTTTCTGCATTTTTAGAGCATTCTTGTCATAAAATGGTGGTTTCCTTCACCAGGCAGAAAATCAGTGTCCTCAACACCTAGCTAAACTCACCATCATTGTGAAGTCTACTGTGAAGCAGATTAGCAATACTATTAATCCAGGTGCTACTAGCTAATGAAAGCACCAGTTGAAAAAATGCAAACCACAGCAATGGTAAATGCATGGGCACAGGCAGATGTGTGACCTTCGCGTCGTCCTGCCCTGCTCCAGCAGCTGCTCCCAGATGCTCTGCTTTTTTTCTTTTTCCTAATGAATAATATTTCCCTGTGCCCACACTGGGAATAAATTGAGAATTTCTAATAAATACAGTTATGAATTGCTAATCCCCGATTTTGTTTCTGTGTGTTAATGTACAGAGGAAAGAGACCGAATATTTTTAAATGTGTCCATTTAAATTCTTCTGTGCATTTTCATTATAAATTCACAGAGATATTCAAAATGTTCAGTTTCTCAAAACCACAATGTATTTTCGACTCTATTGCGAACATATTTTTAAATAAATCTACTATGTATCTTGAGAGAAAAGCTTCAGTTATTAGAAACTTTCTCAACTATTCCATGATTTTTGAAAATAATTTGAGTATCATAAATATTTTTAATAGCAATTTTAATTTTGAAAAATGTAGTGTTAAATGCCATACATGTTTACTTTCTGGAACTAATTTGAATATGGAGATATGGAAACTGCCTTACTGAAATATGTAGTATTATCATTTGATTTTTGTTTTGTTTTGTTTGTTTTTTTGTTGTTTTTTGGGGGTCTTTTGAGACAGTATCTCCATGTAGGCCCAGCTGGCCCGGAACTCACTATGTAGACCAGGCTGGCCTTGAACTCAGAGATTCATCTGTCTCTGCCTCCCGAGTGCTGGGATAAAAGGTATGTGCCACCATGCCCGGCTATCATTTGGTTTTTATAAGATTTAGTTAGGAAACCAATGGCAATAGCAATCATGCCTCTTCTTCACAGTCACAACAAGTTTATTTTAACTCAAAAACATGGAGAAACATATATATCGAAGATGTGCTCACACAAATAGGTGTAGGAAATTTCTTGAAGCTTATTTAAGATATATTTAAATCACTACATCTTAATTTCAAACACATACAAAAATTTATGCATCATTTATAAAATCGTCAGTCGTGATTTGAAGTCCAAGTGTGGTACCTAATTAGAACCTTGATGAATGTGGTCTGTCTCCTCTGTACACTGGAAGATGGAGACACACTATTTTGAATTCACAGCTGCTAGATTTCTTTTTAATAGAGACTGCTGTTAACCTGCCGAATTGTGAAATAGGTTATGAAGTCAATCAGAAAATTAGGCAAAAGGGTAGTGGAATTCCTAAAATTTTTAAAATATTTTCTTTATTATTTTTATTTTATGTGTATGAGTGTATTGCCTGCATGTATGTGAGTAAACCCATGTCATGCAGTGCTGCGGAGGTCAGAAGAGAGGTTCAGATTCCCCTGGAACTAGAGTTAAGGACGATTCGTAGCTGCCATGTGAGTGCTGAGAATAGAACCCGGGTCCTCTGCAAGAGCAATCAGTGCTTTTAACTGCTGGGCCACCTCTCCAGCCCCAGGAAGTGGTGTTTTTATCACTTGGGACAGTCTAGGGGTTTTGTTATCCCTGAAAAATCAAACTGCTCTCCTCATGTCTTAATTTGTACGTGTCACATTTTGCTTCTTTTGTAACTTCCTCTGCTAACATTCTGTCTTCCTCTTCCTGAGTGGACAAATTTACAAACCATAAGTTTCCTCCTGAACACTCAAAGAAGAAAATCTGAAATGTTTTATCATCTTTCTATAGTTTTCTTTGAAGAAAACTAGGGAGTTTCTCAATAAGTTTCACTGCCTTTTTAGTAGGTTTCTGTCATGGCTGTGCTAAAACTATAGAGCAAATGTCTCATTCTGCCTCACACAGCTTGTGAGAGTCCAGCAGATGCTGGTTATTAACTAGTAGTAACAGAAATTTAAATGCCCTTCAGGAAAACACTCCTCCACTTTGATCCATAGGATTGGACAGAACTGACTCCATTCCCTCTAACAAAGGTAGATTCGGACTGACATAAACTAATATGTCTACACCATCCACTTGTCTACATTGACTGCTCAGATAGAACCATGTCCCTCAGTAAAATGAGCGGGACAGGAACTTCTAGAAGAGATTCATGTTCCTGCATCCTCCAGCCTTGGTAATGTGAAGGTGGGGTATTCTTTCTTGTACCATCAAGGGGGAGGAGATAAGTTGGGCTAACAGAGGGATCCTAGAACCTTTCACTCCAGTACTTGGGATGGAAACCAACACCATGCATGCCAGAAAAGCCCTCTACCACAGCTAATATTGCCGCATGTAGAGCATCTTTTAAGCACTCACACAAGCAGATGCAAATCTCAGTCACTCCAACACCTATGTTCTCTGTTTTAAAAAGTTATTTGGAACTAGAGCACACATCACATGCGACATGACAAATGTCACATCTCGGTGTATGTGATGCAGCGTATCAGAGCAGAGAGAGAGAAAGAGAGCAGATGCATTCTTCCCCAGAGAAACAGAACAATGGACCTAATACCTCAAATCTCTGATTGCTGACTTTCTTTCCTTTTTTGTTCCAGACAATTTTAGGTCTTGGGTCTCCTGTGGCTTGACAAATGAAAGATGCAACTCCGCCAGAGACGCCTGTCTGATCAACTGGAGTCCGTGTAAACCTCGGAGGTGCTGAAATAAGAGACAAACCCCAGAGTCAGAAGGGATATTAAGATACAGATCATGACCCTATCACCCTATTCCCCCCACAGCATACAACCTCATCCACACACCCATGAATGTACTAGGATTTCAAAGTGAGAACAGCACCTTTTACTTCTGAAGGTAACTTTCTGGTCAAATTATCTGTTATCTGTTAGTGTTTTTATTGCTGAAACCTGTATTAAGGCAGGGATCCAATAACATCCGAAAAGCAACATCACACATTAATTTTTATTAGCAGCATTAAAAAAATCCAATTTGCCCTCTGCAACAAAATGAGCTCATCAATCAAAGTGAGTAAAATTTCAGCGCTTTGCTTTGATGTCACTATCAAGACCCTGCCAGAAAGCAGTGGCCACTGCTGAGCTTTAAAATTAGAGACATTTCAGAGAAGTCCTAGGAAATTTTAAAGAGACAACAAATATAGATAAAAATTAGAAGGTTTGGCTAGAAACAGGAAGGGGAAATGCTACAGGGACCTTTGCACACTGCCTTGATGTAACCTAACTCCTCGGTTCATGAAATAAGCCAAAGGAAAGGTTTACAAGTCAGAGAGAAAGCAAAAGAATTTATCTAGAAGAGATGTAGGCTGACAAATTCCTAAGGCTGAAAGGATGCAAGGAGAGAGCTTTTCTAGAGGTCTCATGTCTTTTCAATAGGTCATAATGACAGAGCAATGCAGATGAATGTTTTTATACAGATAATCATATGTAATTTGATTAGTGAAAGAACATGAGCACCCTAAACAGTAAACAATATAAGTTTATGTTGGAATAAACTATGGAATAAGGACAAGTGTTACACAAGCAACAACTACTTTATCACATGATAGGAGAAGTACTTAAGATTTGACCAAAATATAATGAAGAATTCTATCTGAGAGGCATCTGATAATAATTTTAAAAATGCACAAAATTAGGCAACATTTTAAAAAATAATACTGACGGAGGTTTGTGAAGGGGCATTTTAACTGCTTTTTCTATGTCTTACCTTTTCTTTTAATATACTTGACCTTTCTAAAAAATTATTTATTTATTAATATTTATTTATTTGTGTGTGTGTGTGTGTGTGTGTGTGTGTATGTGTGTGTGTGTGTGTGTGTGCAGGTGCCTGCAGAGATCAGAGGGGATGGTGGAGCCTTTGGAGATGGAGCTATAAGTCAATGTGTGCCACCTGATATTGGATGCTAGGAACAGGTCCTCTTTATACGCAGCACATGTTCTGAACTTCTGATCCACCCATCCAGTCCCACACTTGACTTTCGTAATCCTGTTATATTTGTGAATCTTTTAAAAGTCAAAAACAGTTTACTTTTCCATTGCACTTCCGTCTTTAAATCCCTATGACAGATTTTATCTTATCTCCTGCTGCTCTGAGTGATAGCATGGACGATGGCTGAAACAAGTTCTAGTGAACATAATCCTTAAATTTTAAGAAACAGGAAAATCATAATAACATTCCTCCTTGCTCGCTAATCACCAGCAACAAACACTGCCCAGAGCCATGCTTCCTGTCTGGTTCTCTGGAGGCCCCAACAATGTGCTCTGACTCAGGTTGATTTCTCTGCAGGAGGAAAAATCAGATGCTAGTCTGAGTTCCTGTTATTTGATTGACAGACAGAGATAGATAGTAGATAGACAGACAGTAGATATCTAGGTAGACAGAGAGGTAGTAGGTTGATGATTGATAGATAGATAGATAGATAGATAGATAGATAGATAGATAGATGATAGATAGATAGATAGATAGATAGATAGATAGATAGATAGATAGATAGATAGATAGATAGATAGATAGATAGATAGATAGATAGATAGATAGATAGATAGATAGATAGATGATAGATAGATAGATACATACATACATACATAGATGATAGATAGGTAGATGATAGATGATAGATAGATGATATATAGATAGATGGATAGATAGATGATAGATAGGTAGATGATAGATAGATAGATAGATAGATCAGATGGACAGATAGAGGATAGATATAGATATAGATATAGATATAAACATATACGGATAGATGGATAGATAGATGATAGATAGATAGATAGATAGATAGATAGATAGATAGATAGATAGATATTACATAGACAGATACGTAGTAGATAGATGGATAGACACCTAGATTGGTAGAGTCACTGGAGAAGAAAAACACCTAACTTTACTGTTACTTCTCTTTCAAAATATAAGCTAGAAAGCAATTATTTTGCAGATATAGTCCCAAGTTTTGGGTTTCCTAGGCAATCATGTGAATACACAAAGAGGGATGCTTAGGAGAAGCAAGAGAACATTTTGCAAGGGGATCATGGGAAGTGACTCTCCATCTCATCAACAAATTCAGCTGGTTGGAAATATTAGGCCTGAAGCATGTTTGTGCTCAGAAAGATAAGGAAAGAAAACGGGCTCTACCAGCCCTGCTCAGTATCACAGACTGCAGCATCTTTAGGCAGCAAACCAACAAGACACTTAAAAGAAGCTGTGGGAAGAGCTCAGTGACTTGAAATTGCCAAACAGGGAGAAGGATAAAAAGCTATGATGTCACTTGTCTGGAGAAAATGGTATTACAACTTTTAATATTTTTCTCTCTAATGTTTCAAACAATGAAAACTCGTAACTCTTGCCTTGTTAGTACTGAATAATAAATAAATACATAAATTTTTAAAGCTCTCATCTATAAAAAACAAAAGAAAATTCCTGATAATATCTCAGAAAAATCAAAGCTCACGACATTGTTACGCTGAATGCTACAACACTGCCTTTCTTCAGCCCCTTGCTTCTCCCTTTACTAGTCCCCAAACTGCTCAGCCTGAGTTCACATCTATTTTAGTAAACCAGCTTTCCACTTAAATTCTGTTTTGGAATTTCTTACAAAAGCATAAGAAAAAGCACTACTATGCGGCATGACTGTGTCCAATTAATTGTGTGTTTAGTATCCCTAGAGATGGATGCCACTTCCCCTGCACTGGGACAATGTTCAAGGGATGATACTGATACTCACTTATCCCACAGAATGAAGGGAAGTGGGAGATTCTTGCAGTCTGCAAGAAAGCTGTGCCACCTGGTGAGAGTTCCACTTGCTCACAAATTCCACACCGTAAAAGGATAAGTGTCATCATTCTACGATACAAAGCAATATTCTAGGCGCTATGGATAATCATTTCAGGAGGCATGTATGTTGCATAAATAAGCATCCAGGCTGGGCAAATTCATGGATTGGTGCTGTCAATCCAGGCAGTCAGCCAACGGAAGATGTGAGTTAATGGTCTAAACTTGGTAACTCCAACAATACTGAGGGCAAGGAAGAAAGAAAATCTTTATTTTTAGGAGGTGTAACAATACGCAGCACCCATTATAACAATGCAAGCACCTACTATGATGATAATGCACAGCACCCAATATCCCAGGGCACAGCACTCATCTTAACAATGCACAGCACCTGCCATGAACATGCACAGCATCCATTTCCATTTCTACTTTGGCAGGAGGACAGAAGGAACTAGAAGAATACCTCTGTCATCTTTTGTTATGATTCAGTCATGTTCACAAGAACTAAAGAAAGAGGAATCCTAGTAAAAGTAAAATGAAGAGCTCTACTCATCACCACAAGGGAGGATATAGACAAGTCTGAATAATCAAAGCCTTGACTGTTACTCACGAAGCACAACCATCAATGTATCCTTAGCTTAAAAAAAGATAAAAGAAAAACGATAGCAAGAGTATAAAGATGGGGAGAGGGGAGATGCGCCAGTCGCCACACACAGGTGTGTTTTTCTGTTACTGATGTACTTAGCTGTCTCTGCTCTCTATCTAAAACTGCCAATGTTGTGCCCTGCACAACCTCATCTCAGGCTATTTTTATTAAACTAATCCCAAGACTGCAGAGGTCAAATTACTGTTTGACTCAGAAGGTATTTTCCAGGGAACCAAAAGATGTGTAGCAGAACACAGAAAAGCCTGATAGTTAGAAAGTGTCTGCCATTCTCTCTGGCTGTGTTCAGACTACGTTCTCAGGATACATTCACAGAGCAAAAGCGGCTCCATAAATACGCTAGAATTCCATTTTCTGTGTAGTGCAAGAGGAGCCAAAGGCTGTCAATTGATTTTTACTTTGAGCAAGTTAAACTTTTTCTAAAAGTGCAGCCAATACACAGCACCATTGCTTGTGAGCCCTTACCTCTTTAAGTTGCTGGCTCTCTGATGCCAAACTGGTGAGCTCAAGGTGCACTTGTGATGAGTTTAGGAGAGAAAACTAAGCAAGACTCACTATCCTTGACCATCCTTAACCAAAGTGTATTGAGGACAAGGTTGTGCACAACACAATAAGTAGAGCTAGTCATTAGCAGAGAGATTACCGAAAAGTATTCAGTATCTGTGGAAGAACAGAACTTGGGAGAAATTTTTAAGATTAAGAAGGTGACTCTAATGCAATTTGATTAGTCAACTCAGAGTCACTTAAAGCTAGAAAAGGATAGCATGCTACAAAGTGAAGGAGAAAATGAGGGTGCCATTTGTCTAATTTAATTCTAATTAATAAGATGCTTCTGTGGACATCAAGAAAATATGTCTCACAGGGAACAAAACTAAACAGCATGTAGCTAATTGGCTTTATTTCATTTAGTTAATTATCATTTCCTTAAATAGAGAGCTTTACTTTTAAAGGAATATCAGTCATAACATTGTACTCAAGCTCTTGAAAAGGGAAGGTTGATAATCTATTAAATAATACCAAAAGTGATAGAAGTAGGAAGATGCACGCAGCCTGTGTTTTAGCCTGCTTCTTTTCTAAGTGGTACGTAGACAGTTTGTGAGGCTTCAAGTTGAGGGATCCCTTATCTTTCTCTGCAACTGTCAGGATAAGGACTCTGAAGGATGACGGTTCAGGATCTAGATATCAGCAAAACTACTGGAGCACATGATGGAATAGCAAGGTCCCTAGAAGATGTGTATCTGAAGAGGGC